ACTATTCTCATAGAATTAGAATGATTATTAAAACTTTATAGTTATCATCCTTGGTTTAAACAGGTGCCTTAACACACAGACACTCACACATTCTCTCACAAACCATCTGGGTTAATATATATATATATATATATATATATATATATATGGCTCTCCCACGCACATAAAATATCTTTAGTGTTTCTAAACAATGTTTTTGTTGTTGTTGTTTTATTAAAACACTCTTACTTATTGTTCTTAAGAACACATCCACACAATTTATTTTATATTGTTTAATATTTATCTTTAATTCAGTGTACATACACACAGCATTGCTTAGACTTGTGAATGTTTGATGTCTTTTACAGTGTACTGTTCACAATTTCTTGAGTAATAAGCTTTCAAAATATATAATTTAAATGTAACTTAAGTGTTCAAATACTCTTAATTCTTGCTGTAGCCTATGTGTTCCTTTAACTCAGACAGTAGAGCACGGCACTAAACGACAATATTGTGAGTTCAATTTCCAGGGAATGCACAGAACTGACGAAATGTAAACTGTTATGTAATGCTTTGAGATCAGAATTATTGCTTCCTGCTGCTTGTGTTGAGTCAGATTGAGTTTTTGTAATATTTCTGTGCATCTTTTTAAGAGGTTTAGACTCTTCGCAGATGGGCTCAGGTTTTCACCCTTTATCTTAAACTCAGCAGCCAGTCACACTTTTACACACGTGTGTATGTGTGTAAAACCTTGTAAGTGCTGAGTAATCTTCCATTTGGCCAGAGTCAGAAAAAGCAAACCTCCCTCATATTCCTCCCACTTCTTCCACTTCTCTCTATTCTTTCATCTCTCTCCCTCCTTCCTTCCTTCCTTCCTTCCTTCCTTCTGTCCATAGGTATTTCTCAGGGTATTAAGGAACGCCCTGTTATAGCCAAGGTGCATGCTGAGAATTTTCACAGTCCGTGATTTGACGTGACCCTGCGATCTATTAATACCTTTATGGTAGGGTGGCATATTGTTTTGGCAGGAGATTGCAGGCGTTTTGGAGTTCGTGCATGTTTTTGTGTGGGCATTGAGGTGGGCAGTCCTTCTGTTGCTCTCCTTACACACAGCACGGCTCTGTCTCTGGGCAGGCCTATATCCGGACCCCCTCACCATGCTGAGAGTTTGTACCACAGTATCTAGAGTCTTTAAATACATACACACGTATACAGAGTTTTAAAATGCTGGCATAGAAAACTAAAACTGATATTTAAAACTAAAAAACTGTTTACACGTAACTCATTATATGCTTCTTGTGATCTCAGATCTTTTGATCTAAAAAGGCTTTTATGCTTCAATGCTTAAAACAATAATAATAATAATATAATTAAATAATAATAATAAATTGTGACATCCTATTATTTTTTTTTTTTTAACAAAAAACTAAATCAAGTGCCCAGCATACATGGCAAGTCATTAAGTACTATTTTAATTGCATCTAGACATAGACATTATTGTTTCCCAATGTATTTATTTTTTATGCACATATCCCTCAAAGTTTAAATATCCCCTCATCAACATAAATCCAGAAACTGGTGTTCATTTTAAATCATATTACACTTAATATTATTTTGCATGATCATTAATATTATTAAAGCAGCTTTAAAACATAAAACAAAGGTGATTCTGAGAAATATAGATTGTGAACTGTAAGACAGAGGATTGTATTGTTGTAAAGAAGATGGTTTTGATCATTTTTTCTCTATCTAAAATGTAGAAAATTGTAAGAATTACGTAGGTTTGTCAAGATGTTTGACTGGTATTGGTTTGTTTGTTTGTTTTCATTGAAAACAGAAGCCCTGGAGCACGACTTCATATCCTGTTAATCTCATTCGTAATTTTGCATACCTAAAATTTAATGTGACCACCACTTTTATTAATAACACAGACCTGAATATAGAAATCCCAGCCCAGTTTCAGTTAAATTTAAGTTTGTCTAAATTAAAAGAAACAAAGTCATATAACTCAAAACAATCAAACAATTCAGATTACCAAAAAACAAATGTTTCAGTTTTTTGAACTGAAAAGAAAAAGAAAGTTCTAAATACTCATATTCATATTCAAGTTCATTTTATTTTAACTAAGTTAAGTTTGCTCTACTCAAACCAAATAACTATTTTGAGCTTTAGGGTTTACAGTGCATACATAAATGTTAATGAATCACACACAAACCACTCTAGCCACAGATGTACACACACACAGGTGGGAAGTCATTAGCTTGTGCCAGCCTGCAGGGAGTGTATGTGAGCCTGAGCACCTGTTCAAAATGATTATATTAGTTGTTCCCATTGTGTGTCTGTTTTTGTGTTTGCGTGGGTGTGGGTGTGGGGCATTTGGTGATTCCTGTAGGTGTGAGGTGTTTTAAATACCTAATATTCCTTAAAGGGCCATAACAACCTATGCTGTAAACATAATCTCCAGTAGGTCATTGCAGTGTTTCATCTGTTTGAGCCTTTTGTAGAGTCACACACTGACACACATATCCATGTCATCCACTCCTCACTGACTCCACTGGCTATGGAAGAGAGTGGAACATCGGGTTAATGTTCTTCCATCTGGTTTCTCTCAGGTCCTCTTAAGCCAGGTACACAGACTGAGGGCACTGGATTTGTTGGGGCGATTTCTGGACCTGGGCCCTTGGGCCGTCAGTTTGGTGAGATACACAACTAAGATTTGTTTTTTACTTTCATTATTTCATTATTGTTTGTAGCCTTTTCACAAGAGTACATATGTTAGTTAGGTAAACTATGCACAATATGGTTAAATGGCAGAAAACGTTCAGCTACCTTGCGTCATCCTAGTCTTTTTTTCTCTCACTCTGACTCTTCCTCTCACTCTCCTCTCTGCAGGCTCTTTCAGTGGGGATTTTTCCGTATGTGTTGAAACTGTTGCAGAGTTCAGCAAGAGAGCTCAGGCCTCTTTTGGTCTTCATATGGGCAAAGATCTTGGCTGTAGATAGTGTACGTAAACCATTTTATCTCTTGATGACTCACATGAGTCCCAGTTAAACTCCTGACAGCAGTTTTAAGTAAATGTTCACCAAAAGAAAGACAAAGAAAGAATATATAAACGGATGAAAGTGCTTTTTATGGTATCAGAAGTGTTTTACATTTGTACGTTCTTTGTTTATTTTTCTCCTTTTATTTATTTTGCTATATCTAAGAGCTTTTCTGAAAGACTCGAACTGTAAACATCAGAAACATTCTGATTAGCATAGGCCCTTAAAGTCAGTGTGAATTCAAATGCTATTAGAATTCTACTTCCATAATGCATCATACTTCTAAGTGAAACAGGAAATTCACAGGAAAAAAAAAAAAACATCTAGGATAGGACAAATTTTTTCCATCAGTAACTGACTGGATGGTGAAAAGTAGGCATCACATAATGCAAGGCATGAACCATAATAAGTTTGCTTAATGCGCAAAAAAAAAAAAAGTAGCTGTTTGGCTGTCGGTTTACTTTTATCCAATAGCTGTATCACCATGGATGTGTATGGATGTCAACAGAAAGTCATTTCAGAGAAAGTTTTTTTTTTTTTTTTTTTAATTACAAAGTAAAACAACTGCAACCTTTCTATAGAATAAAAAAGAACTGATGCATTGTTCATTAGACCAAGATCTTGCATTAAGAAATTTTTTTGTTTGTTTGTTGTTTTGTGTTTGTTTTTACTGATTTGTAAAGGCTATATTGATTTTTATTTCTAAATAATAATTAAAAAAAATCAACATGAAATCAAAATTGTTCCTATTCTCTTTTTAATGCACATTCTTGGTCTTGTGAACGATTCATCTGTGCATGTTAATTCAAAAGATTTGTCATTTTAATGAAATTAATATGACATTCTTTGAACATTCAGAGTGTATTTTTGTACGTTGGAGTCTGGAAGGGCAGTGGAAATGAAAGTGGTTTGCCATCTGTCTCTGACTGTAGTGGTTAAGACACCTGCAGAGATAGATGATCATTCACGCACATCCCTCACAGAGACTGCAGCACTCAAATCAAAACACACTCTAATGCTGCTGATCTGGCTACTGAAAACACGTTTTTCTTTAAAGAAATATAGGAAAATTCTTATGATTGGCTTATCAAATCCAACAGCAACTCTAGCGAATTGATATTAAATTAAAGGCCAAACTCAGCCTGTAAACAAGACCCTGTGACTATACCTAATCTGAACTGTCAAATTTTAGGACTAAACTGAAACAGTTCATTCTATTTTATTTTGAGCAAAGAGATCCAGATGCACAGCTCTTCACAACTCTGATGCAGAGATCATTGCTCTCAGATCTTATTGACACCTGCGTCAATTCAAAACTCCTTTCAGTCACGAGACGTGCAAGCACCATTTAAAAAGTATTGACGTCAAACCTGGCGTGCTTACTTGCAACAGTTTACTTGTGACAGATGGACTTAGCACAATAGAATGGAATAGGGAATAGGGAATAGGGGGTCTTAGTCATGCCATCTTAAAGGGATAGTTCACACAAAAATGAAAACTCTCATCATTTACTCACCCTCATATCATTCCAAACCTGTATGACTAATTCTACTCATGCAAAACACAAAAGAAGATATTTTGAAGAGTATTTGGAACCCACTGACATTCATTGTGTAAGCAAAAAAAATAAATAAAGGGTTACTTCACCTAATAATTTTACTTTTGCCATCATTTGCTCACACTCAAGTTGTTCCAAACAGTTGCTGGTAGCCTTCCATAATTTTTTTTTTCTCCACACAATGGAAGTCAGTTGATACCAGCAACTGTTTCGTTACCAGCATTCTTCAGGTTATTTTCTTTTGTGTTTAACAAAAGAAAGAGTCCCACTTTATATTAAGTGGCCCTAATACCTGTGTACTTACATAGTAACTAGATGTGTACGTAGTATGTAACCACAGTGTAAGTACACATTGGTATATATTATCTAGAGCTGAATATTTCTGTAACTACACACATGTAACAACCCTCTGATTGGTTTGTGTAAGTACAAATGTGTAACAGGACATATATAACTACATTTTGTAACAACAATGTGTATAAGAGTAATTGGAACAATTTGATCCAGGGGGCGGAGATGGGTAGGTTTAGGGGTGGAAATGGGATCCAGGGGTGGAAATGGATAGGTTTAGGGATAGGTAAATAGTCCAGGTGATATGTGAAAAAAATGTTCACTTTTTCATAAAAGCATAAAACTTGGTACACTTGTACAGTTTGCAGCCCTGAACATTTTCAGAAATGGAGCCATCGCAAAAACGCCTTGTGGTCGCCTTGGTGGCCATTTTCCTTTCCGCCATTATCGAATTATGTATTTTATATCTCCTGAACCAAACATGATAACACAGAAAGTGTGATGTCTACCCCTATATGTTTATGGTCAAGGATTACAATGATATCATATACAACAACATAAACTGTTGTGGTGAATAGTTAATGGTGAATTCAGTAACGTTGTGATAAGAATTACAATGAAATCGCAGTAACTGAGATATAAATGGAGATTTCAAGCATATTTCCTGTAAACTTAATTTACAATCACTCTCTGGGGCCAGAGTTGCCTATTATGTTACTCATAAATGTTGTTTCTTATACACCAATAGTGTTAAAAAAGCTTATTTTTCAGGCTAGAGCAGCCAATGTGCATGCGCAGTCCTAAGCACGCGTCTTCAGAACGCTGACAGTTTCTATAGCAACCGGGACTTCTAACAGCAGCTGCAGTGACGCAATGACTTTACCGAATAGCGATTGGCTCTTTTACTCAGAAGGCAGGGCTTCCTTCAATGGAGCAGCCATATTGAGCGTTGTATTTTTCCCCCATTCAAAACTATACGAGTGACACGTCTTGGGCATTCTATAGTCTTTGATACTTCTCAGTGCAGCCTTCCTTCTTGATGAACTGTCACTCTACTGTCACCTTGGTAAAAGTCAACACTCTGCCTGACTCTACATTTATTCATTTAGCAGACACTTTTATCCAAAGTGACTTACAATTGAGGAATACAACATGCAATTCATCATAAAGAGGCAAATAAACACAGGAAGTGCTCGTAATACAAATTTTTAGACATCGCTCAGATTAGTACAAGCTAGAACAGGGAGGGATTAAGGAAATTGAAAGTGAAGGTTCTTTTTATTAAATTAGGATGCAGTCAAATGTTTACGAAAGAGAGATTTTTCAGTTGTCGCTTGAAATTGTCAGGGATTCAGCATTCCAGATGGGCGTGGGAAGACCATTCCACCAGCATGGAACGGTAAACGAAAATGTTCTGGAAAGTGATTTTGTGCCTCTCATTGATGGTACCACGAGGCGTCGCTCACTTGTAGATCTCAGGCTTCTGGAGGGGATGTAGATTTGTAAGAGTGAATGGAAGTAGGAGGGTGCTGAGCCTGTGGCTGTTCTTTCTTTATGCAATCATCAATATCTTGAACTTGATGCGAGCCGTAACCGGCAGCCAGTGCAGGGAGATAAAGAGAGGTGTGATATGGGCCTTTTTGGGCTCGTTGAAGATCAGACGTGCTGCTGTAGTCTGAATCATTTGTAGAGGTTTGATTGTACATGATCGAAGTCCAGCCAAAAGAGCATTGCAGTAGTTCAGACTCTGAGATCCGTGCAGCCAACATTGGAACGTCTGGTTGAAATGAGAGATAAAGCTGTGTGTCATCAGCATAGCAATGGTAGGAGAGGCCACGTGCCTGTATGATGGGACCCAGTGATGTAGTGTATATGGAGAAGAGAAGGGGTCCAAGAACTGATCCCTGAGGAACCCCAATGATCAGTTGATTTGCTTTGGATACCTCCCCTCCCCAGGCCACTGTAAGGTCCACGCACTTAGCCCAAGGAAGGTATCCAGTGGTGGCTGAAGGTTTCTTGCGTGTTCGGTCTTTTCAGCGTGCAAAGTTATTCAATTTAAGTTAAATTGTAATCTGACTCCATTATGCTTATACTTCAGTAGTGTTTTTATCTAGCCCCCTATAGTTATTCTAACCACATAACAACTTGAATAAAGCTGAGACAGTAACCAGAGGTTATGGCTAGTACTATGAAATATGCCCGAACCATGCTAGTACTCCAACAGTATTTTGTCTATCCCCCCACACTTAATGCAACTGCATAACAACTTAACTAAAGTCAAGCAATTAGTCAGAAATCTATAATCTCACCTGATGTGCCCCATGCTCCATCTAACCTGAGATTTAGTATGTACTAACCCCGGGCACCGATTTGCGGTAACATACGCCTTCACTTAATCTACTTAAGAAAATAATTTCAGAGTAGGTCAGAATAAAATAAAATGTAACAATTTATTATCAGTCAGGTAAATATGTATTATGCCAATTACATAGCCAATTCAAAGATATCAAATCAATACAAAACATCAAATTCTCAAAGATGAATCTGAGAGTAAGATTGCATACCTGACGTTTAGAAAAATGCATAGTATGAAGTGTGTGGACACCCTTCATACTATGGGCTCATTCTGGCTGCAGAATCGCCCCGACCCTTTTGCTGCAATCCTTTAAATACAAAACCAAGATAAAACATTCCCCAAATGGAGGCATGTACAAACAATTGGAATTTGCATTAACCCAGGTCCTAAACCTGGGTAGTTTACACCTCAATGGGAACAGAATGTAATTTATATGGAAGACCCTGGTAGAGGGCACTCCCATTACAGTAAGCAAAATATCTCTTAACTCTTATATTATCTTTTAGTCTACTTTTGTAAGATTGAGACCATTGTACCACTCGCCCTGAGACTATTCAAATGATACCAAACATGATTGTAAATATTATTTGCATTGATGTAGAACATTATACTATTGACCATTCTGAGTGAACCAAGTGGAGGGAGGATGGGTAAGGGGAAGGAAGGGGATGAGAAGGAACTGATGAATATGTGAGAGAGGCGTTTCCTGCACCTCCACTCTGTGGGGTGTCTCGAAGATGCCCGTGTATGTTTGTAT